GTAGCAGCCGATCCCTTCGACTAAAGAAAGCGGAAAAGGCTTCGTTTTCACGCAGGCCTACGCGGGGGAGCAGAGTGGGCAGATGGTCTGAAAGGGAACACAGAGGTTCTCGATCTCCGCTAAATATTGTCTAGGCCAATCGGCCGGGTTACCGATGTCAAATCATGACAGTAAATTGAGATTCATTAGTACCTCCACGGGCAAATCGATTTGCAAGCAACGCTTTCTACATTTCATTCGTATAATAGGAATGCTAGATATTCTACCTGAGCGTTCCACACATACATTGCTGCCATCACGCGCACTCGAACGCGCACTAGCATACACCCACGCAAGCACGCACGCAAGCATAACATATTCCATATTCGTGCGTTGATATATATCAAGAGTATGACACCGTTTTAACAGCGTTTTGAATAGTTTTCAACTTTTAAATATTCTATCAATATTATGTGAATAAAAATATTAAAACTTTACCTTGTTTTGGTCTATGATTCTCCCTTAATTATATGACACCTCCAATTTACCTGAAAATCGTATGTGTTTTTCAAAAAAGTTCTTTGAATACGACACGGTTTCACACAGTTTTCCCAAACGTTCGCATGTATTCGGCTCATGTTGATATGCGGCGGCAGCACCAGGTTGTAACTGCGGGACGCTGGGGGCTGTTAGGGATATTATGTAAGCACAGTAACAGCACTTTTTTCGCTTTCTTATCATCAGGAACACGATGGCAACACAGCTAAAATCAGCTGCTAGCTCGCCGTGAGCACACATTTATTTCTAGCACGCTGGAAACGCTACACGTTGAATACAATTCGATGCCTAATCTCCCCAGCAGCCCCCAGCGTTCCGTCATAGACAATAGAACACTAATCCCATAATAAACTTACGCCGAACACATGCGCTCGTTTGGGAAAACTGTGTGAAACCGTGTCGTATTCAAATAACTTTTTTGAAGAACACAGACGATTTTCAGATAAATTGGTGGTGTCATAATATTATGATTAAGAGAGAATCATAGACGAAAACAAGGTAAAGTTTGAATATATTTATTCACATATTGATAGAATATTTACAAGTTGAAAACTATGCAAAACGCTGTTAAAACGGTGTCATACTCTTCTCTATTATGTACTCTTGATATATATCCTTGTTACGCCACAGTTGCTTCACAGTTCCTATATATATACTGTGATATAACATCGGTTGGTACACTTGCAAGTTAATCCAACTACAATATTTTCGCAGCGTTGGCACTTAACTACCAGTTCAATTACATTTAGGCGCTAACGTTTACTAATGCACACAATTTATATGCAATTATACACAGTAATTGATAATGAGGGAATTAATAGGGGCAGTGCGCCTCTAATCAATTTACTGAAATGTGAAATCTTTACTAAATTACAGAACCGCGACTCGCGAGCATTGAATCTATATTCTACTACGCAAAACATCTGCACTTGTGCGGATTATTCGCAACTTCATTAGCAGCGGTTTATCAATTCATTAGTGTGGTGAATTTTAGCAGGCGTATATTGGGGGAGGCTGCGGCGTGCAGCAAGCTCGTCTCGCTGATCGACACGCAATGCCGTCGCGGGTCAGCCAGCAAACAGAGCATACACGCACGTACGCACACGCGCGCGCGTACTCACGCACAGACAGGCGCACGTACGCACAGGCGCGCGCGTGCTCACGCACAGACAGGCGCACGTACGCGCGTACCCTCCACACACATTCTTACACACACACACACACACACACACACACCCCACACACACGCGCGCGCGCACACACACACACACACACGCACGCACGCACGCACAGCACGCACGCACGCACGCCACGCACGCACAGCACACAACAACCACACACGCACGCACGCACGCACGCACGCACGCACGCACGCACGCACCGCACGCACGCACGCACGCACGCACGCACACACAACACACACACACCACACACACACACACACAGCACACGGGTGTGCACGCGGATGTTGCGGTGGGAGGGGGCTGACGAGCAGACTAACCTCGTCATTGATCGAACGGTGTCAAAAGAGAGGCGGTGGTGAAATGAGATATTTGTTTGAACGTTGATGACAGAGAGAAGGGGGTGGAGATCGAGAGAGCGAGAGAGCGAGCGCGCGCGCGCGGCCAGGAATATCACGAAACCTCTGCGTAGCACGTGAAACATCTGCGAGCGGCAGGTAATTACGCTGCTATAATGAGGATGATGATGACGGCTCATTGACATCAGCCGAGCTTTTTCATATCATTCAATCTCCGCCAGACAGCAAGAAACTCACCCAAACCAGGTGTCATATTGAAAATCAGTATGTAAACCTAATTAACAAACCGAAAATCTCATTAGTTGCTGGCCTTACCGAATCAGCCAGTATGCATATGCGCAAAATATATGCACTGCTTGGGGTTTTTACACGCGCGACATTGTACATTCTCAATGCCAAATGGCAGCGCATTACCATCTGCTGACGATAATATATACATATATAGGCCGATTTTTCGCAAATGCGGCTCGCATGATAACAGAAAAAACTACTGTCAAGAAAACAAGCGCCGCAATCATTAGCAGGAGCGTGCACACACGCACGCACGCACGCACGCACGCACGCACGGATCTCTGCACCTATCGCACACTAATTACGACTAATTATAACACGTGAGAAGAACGAGTGACTATACGAAATACGGACGACATTTAAAATCTGAAATTCATCGACCCGCAAATTTAGCGCAATTATGTAGATCAGAAACGCGGCACGTGGTTCAGAGGCGCCGGATACAAAAATCTCGCCTTCTGCCCCAGCGCTCTATTCGCCCCCCATCCACTTGAAACCTTCACTCTGCTGGTCCAGAGCTGATCCTCATCTGCTAAATGCTTGTTGAAAGCGTCCGGAATTCCTGTGCGTCGAAACTTTCAAAGATACTTGAATGGTTACGGACAAGAAATCGCCGCCGTTGCAGTGAGAGCAGCGGTCAGCGTTGTTGTGCGCTGTTTTATCAGCTGCATTCTCACACAGGGCGCAACAGTGGACACGCGAGAGACATTCAGAAAGCGTGAGACGCCGCGCAGAAAGGATTATCTGTGCACAAACAGCGCTGTAATGGACCCCGCCGCGATTCCAAATCCGAGCTGCTCGCCAGCCGTTCCCCGGGTGCTGAATGCACCTTTGCGCGATTTTTTCTGCCCGCAGGTAGAGAGAGGTTTGCAGGTAAACACGAAGGACACGCGCGCGGACGTGTTATATCGCGAGAGACTAATGCATTGCACGCAGCGACTCATTAAGCTGCCGCTATGATGCAAAACGAATTTGTTTGACCCGGCGTTGCTGCTGACGCACTTGTGGGAGGGGAGGGAGGGATGAGGGGAGGGTGGAGGCTTTCTCAAGGCCTGCTTTACAATCACGGTCGCCACGGCCTGATTAACCTGGATGTCTGCGACAATATTCCGCCGATCTGACACAATCTGAGCGCGGAGATCAGCCTAATTGTAAGTGCGTCTCAATTATCTGTGACCCGCGCCCATCAATAGACTCATCAGTGCGCTCCCGCGTTAATCTGCCGCGTAATTCAACAACAAAAGCACAATTTTCCTTCGTAATGAATCCGCTGGGAAGACAGCGCTATCACATTATCTGCGGTGATTCTGAGTTTTGCACCCTGTCAGGCGCAGGTCACGTGCGATATTTGCCGAGTAATTGAATAATTCTGTCACCTGGCGTCTCCGTAACAACCTTACCCCGATCACGTTGTGTCAACTACTGAGGCCGCATCGGTACGGCCAAACCTTTCCGATTAACAAGCAGGTAGATCTTCCATCATATTTATAGTGTATTCCCGTAAACTACACGCGGTAAAAAGAAATGTTAATGTATTAAAAACAACCATGTTACTTTCAGCACATAGTAATTAAGCATGGTTGTGATGAAAACGATTTCAGGTAACTTTACTGACAGCTAGAAAGCAACACGCCTGTTACCATGTCATCATCAAGCTACGACAATTAAACTGTCATTACAAGTAGATTCACACTTCACAGACGAAATTTTCCCATTATACACACGGTCAGCGTAGTTGCCCAGTGAATAATATATTTAAACGACTAATCTTGCTGGCTTGCGTAGATTACGTGTCATCTACATATACATAAAATGTGTCCACATAGTGCATTAAATTGGTCTCCGCATTTCATCACCGTCAGTAATAAATTATGGAATTTGTGTTAGACCGATTATCGCATTAGCCGTTTTGTTTTGCCCTCTTCATTTTTTATCGCGCCAGTAACAGATCAATATATTTCGCGCTGAGACAATTCGCACAGGTACACACATCTGCGTACAGCAAACCAACATATAGGTAAAGCAACGAAGCGCATAACTTATATAACTACTTTAGTTTTTACTTGTGATGATCGAGCATCCGCAGTGATTTAGTGCAAATTGTTTTGAATTTTAACTTTAGGACAATATCTGTATTTATAGCAGTGCCCGTGTTGTTTAGAAAAAGAGCTAATACTTTTTAGCAATGAAGATAAATATTTATACGCTAATGGGCTAGACCTCTTGTTGGTGATCTCTAAAGCGTAACAACTCCCGGATTCGCGTGGCCACACGTACACGCACACGCACACGCACACACGCACGTACGCGCACACACGCGCACGCGCACACGTACACGCACACGCACACGCGCACACGTACACGCACACGCAAACGCCCACACACACACACACACACGCATACACGCACGCACACACGCACACGCACACGCACACGCACACGCACGCACGAACACACGCACGCACGCACAGGTATATCCATCACGTGAATAACTCTATATTGCGATTTCGTTGTACTGTATTTTACACACATGCAGTAGAGGCTACTTGCCTCTACTAATATGCACGCTATAACAAGGAAACGTTTAATGGCATAACAACAAACACAAAGGTGGTAGAATAATAGAACTTACCTCCCATGCACACATTGGATCCATTGGGTTTGGTCTGAGAATGCCCGAAAAAGGTCCAAACTTCTGACCTCTATCTATCTTTACTTTTGCCCACACGCTGAGATTTCCAGACATACGAGATTCACGAAATTCGAGTGTTTCTGGTAACATCATCTGGTCTGGAATGTACATGGCCTGTTTTGGCATTGCCATGGATACTGGAATCTGCTGCCTCTCCATAGCGACAGGAAACTGTGGCTTCATCTCCATGTTGACGTGCGGCGTAACTGTCACTGGTGGAAAGAAGGGAAAGATGGACGCAAACGACGTTGTTGCCGGAGCTGTCCTGGCGACGTCAGGTGGGGAATGGTTGTCACTGTCTCGTGTGAGTTGATCAACATCAGCATACTCCTCTTCAGTCCCTTCTTCATCTGTAAAACGAAATAAAGACCATAAGACATCTCTCCGCACATGATATTACGTGTTGTTCAACTGGTTGTCCAGAGTGTCTGTGAATTTGTCCACAGTGATAATCCCTAACATGTAAAAATGCAATTGAGTATTAATAATCTAAACAAATTACTCGTTAAGAGCTCATCCAGTACGAATTAATTCTTATACCTGCCCCTTGCACACCGAGCGTGGCGTAATAGTACCAACATGCAGATAGGCATGGTCTTTACTAGAGGTGCGAGAATGCTATGCTGCTAATGTCCAGCGCATAGCTGGCAGTTTTGTTTTTACACATCGCACTAATTTGTGTACGATGACGCATCTAACTTCATTATACGCCCAGCACAATAGCACAGGTATCGTCACCGTAGTGATGATCATCGCCTGATGGCAACAGCCGAATACAAAGCCGCTCTTCCTTACTCAAACAGGAAATAATGAATAACAAATAGCGTTAAAATTTAAAGCGCTAGCAAAATAGAACATTGGTCATGATGTAGCCGCTCGCCGGTGAATAATACATGCGTGCGATTATCACCACATAGAGAGATATTTATTATACTCGTCGATTCGCTCAGGAAGCTAAGCCCTGTGCGCTCATATCAAAGACAACTTAGCGCTGTTTATTCATTCAAGGCCATAACAGAGGCGAATTTGCTCGCGATGAACAATAGGCCAACAAAACGCACCCAAACGAAACGAGGCTCGTGCAATATTCATTACTCCGTCCCACTCGGTACATTCACCGATGGCGTTATACTAAAAAAATATTTCATCATATACTAGGTTGCACCTTTCAGATATAGCATAAATATATGATAGTTTAACGACAGGCGCGATACGTTCGGCGCCTATACATACATATATGGGCTACGCGTTTGCGCGCGTTGACAAAATGATGACGTCTAGATTACCGCACCACCTACCTGTGAGCAGCACAAATACGGTAACGATTTCTAGTAGCTACGCTGTGACATCTGTCAAACACGTTCACTAATCCCCCAGATAACCACGGTGGTAAATGCGCGCAGCAGCGAACGTCCAACGTCAGGCAGCCGGAATCTATAAGCACTCTCGGCCGGCGGAAAACGAAATGGAAATGCATACCACGGCAAAGCAGAAAGGGCCTTCCGTGTTCTGACAACGCGGCTGCGAGGCGACTGGCGCTCACGAGCTGCGAGAAAATGCGTTCACATTGTGAAGCTGCATGCTCTCCCTCTCGTGATGGAATCTCATCCAGATGTGACAGTCGCCGCCGCAAATCGACCAGGGTGATCAATTCACAAAGAAAACAAACCTTCGACTTTACAAAGAGAAACGCTTTCCATCAATAATCTCCATCTTTCCATTAAGTTTCACAAAGTACGCTCGAGAATGGGCGCATTCATGTAAGCATCCGCGCGTATGGACGTAGTCTTGTCTTGCCGACAGCCGCGTGTCCGCTAGCACTCGTAATACTGCGCTGCATACTCAAGCACTTGCGTCTGTTCCTCTTAGAGAGCACACAATGCAAGACCGATTCATTACACCTTTCCTGAACGATCCGTCCCTCGTACATCTTTTCTATTTAATTCGAGATTGATGAGACGCGCTGGCATCAATTAAAAGCACGACTCTGCCACACACGAGTCGCAGATAAGTGATCTATGGTTGCGGCGGAACCCCCTTACCAGCATTTCAAGCACACACTGGACACCTGTGGTCTCCTACAGGAGAAACATGGATAGCGTGCGCTATTTTCTTCCCAGTCGTTAGTTAAGCATCCCATGTGCATCCAAGTTGATATGACGACAGCTTAATCAGGGTAACTAGCAAGCTGTGAACGGCAAACCAACACAGAACGGAAACTTCTATGACGCGAGATCATTACCTCTTTCGTTAGCTATGCAGACTTTGCACGGAAGATAAGAAATGAATTGAAATCGATTCGTTATCACGAACCTCATCTTCATCAACGCAAGCGTGTGCATCAATAAGCCTATCGATGTTTATAGACAGACAGAGCAACGTCACTGCGTAGCTCGTACATGTCTGATCCGTGTAAATTGCGCATCGCTCGCGGGTGCTGGAGATAAACACGCCATCGCACGCTATTTGCTGGCTACCGACGCGTAACGAGATGAACCGTTAGCAGATGGTGCGAAAAATAACAGATAACGGAACAGTAAAATAGCTGTTACGGCGCAATAGAAAAACCGCCCGCATATCATCTTTATCACCTCTAGGTGTACTCGCTGCACATCTCTGTCAACTTTGCCACGCGCCGTATCTGGGTGTTGGTGATTTTTTGCACACCTTATCGAGTCTTTCTCTTCATGATCTTGGATAGCACGCTGACACGAATGTGATAGATAGCCTCGTATGTTGGCACAAGAATGGTCGGCTGGTTTTGACATCTGGTCTATGGCTTAGAGTAGAGATAGCAGTCCTATATAGTCCTTGATTACGAAGGGCAGCCGCTCTGTTTACACTCCTCTTCACTACAGACATGAGCTGTGCTTCCCCTGTTGATTTAATATTCTCTACTACTAAATTATGAACAAAAATAACGTTGCCTAACAGGCTCATGAACTGTAACAGCACTGGTCCTTCGCTGTTATTATGCCGTGCAATTTGCAACGACAATATTATGTGGGAGACGAGAGAAGAAAAGAAATCCATCAGACGAACGATTTAAGACCAATTTAAACGTAAGATGTGTCTTGCAATCATTTATATGCCTGCATATGCACGGGTACAAATTCCAAGATAATATCAGGTGAGCGAAAATGCGGAGAAGACACAACTGCCATCAGACGACATTTCAAATTCATTTTCAATAAGAAAGGCCTAGTTATCTGAGACGGCATTATTATCGATCTACCTCGTCTTTCTTGCCGATTGCCATTTCCCCAATGCACACGATGTGTATTAAAGCTAGATAGAACACAGTACATTTTTAGTCTGGCGCACAACACCATTCACTTGCTCGCTCGTCTCCTCAAAGCGCCCAGCCGTATTTGCTAGCCATTCTTTGACAGAAGCCACCTATTCAGGTACTGATGACGAATTTGACAGATTCTGCTGCCACTAAGCACACACACCTCGGCTACCTCAAACAAACTCGCCAATATCATTTGCACAGACAGCAAAGACAGAAAAGAATATCCGTTTATGTCTCTGATATCATTACCGGGAATAAACACGGTTTCGTGCTCGCAGATTTGCCCTCTGTTTACCTTGTGCACATAACATGCAACACACCGTTTTACCTTCGCAACGATTTTGCCCCTGTAGAGCCCTTAGAGGGGAAATCAAAATAGCAGGAATAGAATACAAAAAAAAACGCGTAGCTGCCAAATACACACCCCAAGTATATGTTAAGCGCATACAGCTTTGTGAAGCGTATATGTGGCAAAGCGGTTTTACGTAATTAAATCAAGTTCCTCTGTGTGCAAATTCTCGTGGTCGTGTACCGGAAAGAACCGCCAAATAGAGATAAGATGAAAGGTATCAACGTTATCAAAACCTCCAACAAAAGAACGGCTTCTTATATCTCTTAAGAAAAAACTCCTCTTCACAAGTCAAGCCGGGAAAACAATCAAAAACAATCAGCGCAAGGCGAAAAAGCAAGCCGAGGATAACGCAGATTACGCTCCTGTGACACTCAACAGGCCCACGTTAGCGTGTGTGCGCGCACACGAGCACACGCGCGCATGCAGACATACGCTGCATAACCGCGGGTGTGAGCACCTTCTACGTTTACAATCTCATGAACGTTTACGCAGTTTGTGTAACCAGCTGCTTCGTAATGAAACATCGCGCGATCCACGCGTCTTTGCCGACAATACGAACATCAATCTAATGATTCAAACTTGCACTGCCGCAGACAAAGGCAAGGAAACGCCGCGCTCTGTGTCACGGGAATCAATGACCAGTGTCAATAGCGAAAATATGCCGCATCAGGTCGGCGACAAAACGAGACGGAGAGAGGCTAAGAAATGCGAACAAAGGCAGAGCAGATGCTAGGACATGGGTTAAGGTATTTTCGCATCAAATCGACATTATGCTCGCGGTGGGATTTTGATTACAAAATAGAAATTTATATTATCACTGATTCGTAGGTGATTAGAGCCTTCAATCGAACATCTGCAAGCACTGTGGTAGGTTTCTATAGTATAGGGAAATACCGGCTAAACGGCACACGGGGTAAGCACGACATAGACGATTAACGGGCTAAAAGTGGTATACAAGCTCAGCTACGGATATCATGTGACTGACCTACGTGGCATTACTCAATAGTGCCTTCCACCATCAGCAACAGGTAGTACGATCTTCATACGAGCTGCAGAGGTTGCCTCGAAACATCACTTACGAAACGTTTCCGGTAAACAAATATAAACGCCAACCGTTCATCCCCGCCCACCATAAGCCGCACTACACCGCTCAAGGCCAAAACCCCTAGTGTTTCTCTAGGTGATCCCAGTCGTAGTTTGACGAGACAGTCACAAGCATGGCGCCAGAATGTTCTCGAGACCTCTTGACGTTCGTTTGCTGCGCGCGGAGGCAGCGTGTGGAAGCGGCCATCACAACGCGCATCACGACACAGGCGGGAGATGTGTGTGAGTGAGTGCGTGCATGTGCGTGCGTGCGTGCGTGTATGCGTGTATTTGAACGAGTGAACTCGGGTGCAGGCACCGCAACTGATATACGCAGCGCTTCTGCGGCTGGTAAATTATTGAAGGCATGCGACTTAAATATTCCAGGCCAATATTTTGGATGACATTAATGATTATTTTTGACATGACAGGCCCTAAATTATGTATCCCGCTAAAAACAATGCTGTCTATTTACATTGGGCAAATTACTCCGGTAATATGCCCACATTAGACCACCCGGTGAGGCCGGCAAGCCAGCAGCAAACCTCGTGAATCCATGTGTCACTGGCCTTGAGCCCAAGGCCATGGCCTTGAGTATTAGCACGCTCATGGTCGTGCAC